CCACGCGTGGGCCGGAGACCCAGTGTGGGGGTCGCAGAGGGAGTCCCCCTGACCTGGGCGCGTCCTCCCGCGGCGGTCCGCTCCATAAGTCCTCTGCGCGTCACCTCCTTGCCTCGGTCGCTAGCGCTCGCTTTGCTTCGGCCCTTTAAGAGAGCACAGTCCGGCCGGGCGTGGTAGCTCAAGCCTGTAATCCTAGCACTTTGGGAGGCCGAGGCGACGGGATCACCTGAGATCCGTTCAAGACCAGCCTGGCCAACATGCTGAAAACCCATCTGTACTAAAAATACAAACATTAGCCGGACATGGTGGCGGGTGCCTGTACTCCCAGCTACTTGGGAGGCTGAGGTAGGAGAATCACTTGAACCCGGGAGGCGGAGGTTGCAGTGAGCCAAGATCGCGCCACTGCACTCCAGCCTGGGTGACAGACTCCGTCTCAAAAAGAAAAAAAGAGAAAAAAAAAAAGGCACAGCCCTCACAGCCCTCTCTTGGTCTGAGTGTAGAACTAGGGCACACCACGCCCTCCAAAGGAGGGGATGTTGGCTCCCCTGGAGCACCGCCGGGGTCCTTAGGACCGTGCTAGGAGGGAAAGGACTCTCCAACCTCTCGGGAGAGAAGCAGAAAAGGGAGAGGCCTGGCGGTACCACAGATGGGATCAAACTGGGTGTCTGTCACCAACCTCAGACAGGTCACTTTCCCTCAGCAGCCTCTCGGTAAAATCGGGCTGATAACACCACCCATCTGGGAGGGCTCGCAGGGATTCCTCGAGAGAATGAATGCACTGGCAACTTTTCCCGCGTGGAGGCTGACACACAGGAAGAGCTCCGCCCCGGGGCTGGGAAGACAGGACTGGAGGAGAGGGAGGCTCCCCGTTCACCCTCCCACCGCTGGGAAGGGCTCCTTTCCTAGGAACACCACGGGGTCTCCCTTCAGCCTTTTCCCAGGCTCAGGGAGGGGAGCTAGGGCTGTGCACACTATCTCCACTGGAAGGGGAGGGCTGGAGATCCACAGAGGAAGGGACTTACCTAGTGCAGGAGCAGCAGGTGCACACTGAACCCTGGAGTCCTCATCTCTAGCCTAGCTCCAAAACCTCCACCAGGATCGGATCGCAGCTTCCATTTGAGGCCATTTCTAGGCCAGCGGCCCTGCAATGAGAAGCATCCTGGAGAGATGCCAGATTCCTCCTTCCTTGCACCGCAGTCCCCTGTGGGAAGCCACTCCCAGCCCCAGAAGAGGGATTCCCTTTTTAAAGCAAAGCAGTGTTCCCTACTTCACGCACCCCAGAGTCATTCCACAGCCTCTGCCTGTCCTATTGGTCCAAGGGTGCTATGGTCTGAATGTCCCTGACCCCCAAAACTCACATGTTGAAACCTAATGTTAATGTCAGGGTATTAAGAGGCGGGGCGGGCCGGGCGCTGTGGCTCACGCCTGTAATCCCAGCACTTTGTGAGGCCAAGGCGGGCGGATCACTAGGTCAGGAAGTCAAGACCATCCTGGCTAACACGGTGAAACCCCGTCTCTACTAAAAAATACAAAAAATTAGCCGAGCGTGGTGACGGGCACCTGTAGTCCCAGCTACTCAGGAGGCTGAGGCAGGAGAATTGTGTGAACCCGGGAGGCGGAGCTTGCAGTGAGCCCAGATCGTGCCACTGCAATCCAGCCTGGGCGACAGAGCGAGAGCGAGACTCCGTCTCAAAAAAAAAAAAAAAAAAAGAGGTGGGGCCTTTGGGAGTTGATTAGGAGGTGATTGGGTGGGCTCCCCGACATGAATGGGGCTAGTGCCCTTATAAAAGAGGCCTGGGGGCCGGGCGCGGTGGCTCACGCCTGTAATCCCAACACTTTGGGAGGCTGAGGCAGGTGGATCATGAGGTCAAGAGATCAAGTCCATCCTGGGCAACATGGTGAAACCCCATCTTTACTAAAAATACAAAAATTAGCTTGGTGTGATGTCACGCGCCTGTAGTCCCAGCTACTCAGGAGGCTGAGTTGGGAGAATCGTTTGGAGGCAGAGGTTGCAGTGAGCCAAGATCATGCCACTGTACTCCATCCTGGCGACAGAGCAAGACTCTGTCTCAAAAAGAAAAAGAGGCCTGGGGAGCTTGTCCACAACTTCTGCCACAAGAAGACACAGCTAGAAAGCCCCATGTATGAGGAACAGGCGAATCTGCTGATGCCTTGATCTTGGACCTCCCAACCCCTAGAAATATAAGCAATAAATTTCCTTTATTTTTTGGCGGGGGAGGGGCGTGGGTGTGGGGTGTTCAAGCGATTTTCCTGCTTCAGTCTCCCAAGTAGCTGGGATTACAGGCGCAC